ACGGTACGGAAATATCTATCAATAACAAAGGACAGGATTGGGAATGGTTCTGATTGTTTGTGGGGGTCCCAGTCTCTGCATAGTTAGTTGGAACGACAGTGTATTCTAAGAGAAAACTGGGAGGAGGGTACTGCTTGCCCCTCTTCCGCGTATATATTATATAGCATTGCTTGAAAGGTCTAGTCACCTAACCGCCCTCTGTGTATTCGGGGCAGTCAAAATACATTAAAAAAGATCCCGTTAGCGCTCTGAGCGCCTGAATATCAAAATCAACTGCCTTCTACACGTTCTTTCCTTTACTCTCACTACCCAAGGATTTGATTCTTCCATCTTGCGGTGTCTTCGGATGAAAGAATCCTTTGAAGAAGCAGGACCAAGTAACTCGAGCAACCTTAATAATCTAGCTTCTCATCATTCTGCTCGGATACACTTCCCAAATCCTACTTCCAATTCCAACAACGCTCATGTTCATGAACCTACAAGTTCAAGAGTACACTACAAGACAAACAGCAATGCTATAGCAGGGAGCTCTAAGGATGCCACTGGAAATGGCAATGCACGAAGAAGAGTCGTGTCTGTGGATGCAGGGAATCCGTATGGCTCTTTGAGAGGTAGTAGGAATGGAATGGATGGAATCAGTGAAACTGCTGCTATTTCCGAAGGTTATGGACTTGGTACAGGACTAGGTATGAGGAGAACACCTACGATGAGCATGGGTGCTTCGGGATCTGGACGCCGAGTGGCTTCTTTACATTCGATAGACAGTAAAGACAGTCAACCAGACTCTTCTGAAGCCGACTTGGGATGGGGAATGGCGGCTTTCTCTGACGAGTATGATTTATGTGAGTGCGAATAATCATACACCAGTATAGTTTATTCTGACTGAAGTTCTTAGCTCATGAAGGCAGGTTTATCATTTCTCGATGATACAAAAGTACTATCATCCCAATGATTACAACGTAGATCCAAGAATCCTACAAGACGTTCAACGCGCCTTGATGCTCAAACATCGACGAGAAGCCCGAAGGAAATCTGCTCAACTTAATCTTCCTCAGGATGTTCCTTCTTCACCGAGCGGTAAACGTTCCCTAATTACAGACAGGCCGTCGTCGCCTTTAAGATCCACTGCATTTCCTACAGGTATATCTCAGCAGTCGACTTCGACGATGACAACAACAACAGGTGGTTCTCAGAAATCTTCTGCTACCCCATTAGCCTCTGCCGGTCCTTCTACTTCAACAGATCCACCAGGAAATTCCGTATCTTCCACTTCCGCCGTATCAGCTCTCACCGCCCCTTCTACAACAGATATCGACTTCAGTCCTTCCACCGGCACAACAGCCGTCCGCGCCGACCCACCACAACGCCTACATCCGATACCCCTCTCGAGCGATGCCGGCAAGACGCTGGACTGGACTGGAGTGGGTCATGGGTACGGGTCCGAAGACGAGAAGGGTGAGCGAAGCGATAAAAATGAGAAGAGGTGGTCGTTGAGTGTATCCAGGAAAGGTAAAGAGAAGGACAAGGAAAAAGAGAAGGAGAAGGAAAGAGAACTCATGCCGACTCTCGAGGATTTGAAGAGGCAGGAGGGAATACATGTCGGTAAGGAACTCTAGACTATTTACCGTTTCGTATTACTGACGTCGGCTTCTCAGCTAAACTATCCCGAATAAAGGCCCTCTCAACTCAGCCCACGAATAAGAAAGTGGCTATCATAGCTAATCAACTTGGTCGACAATATAATCTAATATACAGCTCTTTACCGTCTACCTCTTTAGGCGCATCTGCGTCCATTAAATCCGACAAATCCAACCCTCCCACTTCCAGCACCAACATGCAGGAATTCAACCTCCTCAAGGTATCCAGATGGTACGGCGAACAAGATGACATCGTGCGTTCGTCGCTAGAGAAAGCCGAGCCATTCATTTGGTTGAAGCATCTAGAGAAACGAAACGATGGAGGAGAGGGGGCTGAAGCGTCTAAGGAAGGAAACAAAGACGACGTTACCGCCTTTACACCCCGCTTGCCCTGGCATCTTTCAGCATTGATCATGGAAGAATTCATACATGCGCAGAATGCCAAAACTCGTTCTCATATTCCACACCATCTTCCTCCTCGTCTTCAGGATAACGCTAAACCCACTAATTCCGGTCATTACACTGATCGTCTCATGGGTTCCATACCTGAAGATCCTTCTGGCTCGGATATGCCTAACGATACGGATATTGGTGTGCCCGATGGTATGTCCACTGATATACCACCGCCTCGGGATGACGGAGGTGTTAGTGCGTTATCTCCCCCTTTCATACCTTCCGGGTATTCCACTCCTTCAGCCTATTCTCCTCCTTCCATATATTCCGCATATTCTTCCCCTTCTGCATATTCCACTCCTTCTGCCTATCCTCCTAATTCTCCTCCATTACAACCCCAATCCCAACCGCAACCTCAATCTCATACCTCCCCTTATTCTCTTTACTCCATCTTCAACAACTATCCTTCTTCTCTACCTTCACCTCAGTATTCTCGACGGACATCTGCAGAAGTCGAAGGCGAAGGCAGAATTTCGTTCGAGCCTTTACTCGATCCCCCGTCGCTTGGTACCCGCCCCTCGAATGAATCTCGACGGAGTTTGGAATCGACGTTCAGTAGTATCTTCAGCTCTGTTGGAGGGGCCGGTACCAACCCTAATAGTGCCTCCACTGCCGTAGGAGGAGGAGGAGGTACCACCAACACTAATTCCAATACAGCCACTGCAGGAATCGGTTTCTCCTCTCCAACAAGTAGCCGAAGTCGACTTCATATCCGAGATAACTTTGGCTTGAGAAAACCTAGAAGGGCACCGAGGGATGAGAATCATAGCGACGATGCGAACGATGGGAATGTATCCTCGACGAGGAATTCTGAGAGTGATGGCGGAGCAGGAGTCAACATGAAAGGAGCAAGAGAAATAGACGGCTCGTTCGTCCGCGTAGATGAATCCGAACTCAGCACTGCGAGACCTGAGCCATCTCCTGTTGCTGGTTTGATGTCGCCTGCCGGTGGGGATGCACGCGCCCTGGCAAGCGGTGGTTCTAATACTGGTTCCGGTCCAGGCTCGAATACTGGTTTAACTAACGCGCCACAAACAACGAACCGTAATCTTCGCCCTCTTCGTTCTCTCCGAAACCGAAAGTCGTTACCTCCATCAGAGGAAGACCGGATTGCTTTAGCGATAGCGCGGAAGAGGAAAGAAGATGCGGAAGAGGCGAGGGAGGACATGGAGTATGAGATGAAAGCTCAGTATGTATTTCTTTGTCCTTGCCCCTGTCGCCTCTGTCTTCCATCTTTGACTGTCACCGTCTTTCGTCCGCTGACCCTATTTTCACAGACTCATCGCCTCATGCAAAGACTCCAACACGCACATTCGTTCAGTGCTCAATCACATCGCGCAACACATGCGCGAATATGAGATGTGTCAAACCAGTTTTATTTCTGGGAATGGTGATAGAATTGAACGGAATAGAGATAACGATAGAAGTGCAAAGGATAGCGATAAAGGCGCAGGAGGTGATAGTGGCTACGAATATACCACCCTCCCACACGAACTTCTCGAAGCGTTCAGCCATGACCCAGCGAACGTGACAAGTTCGACGAAGAGGCTCAAGTCCTATCGCGCGGTAGATGACATTTACCATCGGTTGACGAGACAGAGGGCAGTCTTCAGGGAGTTTTTGGATCGGAATACCAATAACGGTGACGCTGATGACAGTGACGGAGAGACCATTCCCGCACCCGTAACCCAAGATATACTCAAAAATCCCATCGACTCTTTGATGAGCACTCTCAAGAAACTGGAAGAACATAGATTGGGTATCGTTCATCGAGAGAAAGACGTTTCGGAAATGTTGAGGGATACACAAGTCATTCATTCGGAGGTCAAGAAGAGGTATAATAGTACGTTGGCGCATACAAGCGTCGTTTATCCTGAAGTGGGTATTCCCCATTCATTCAGCACTATACTCTTAGCTAATGATTTATCTGTTTCAGCTCTCTCAAATCGTCGCCTTGGAAGAAAGCTACAAAGACCAATATCAACACCTCTGGGACATTGGTATGGACGCCCTCACCTTCATCCTCGACTCTGTAACTCCCTTCTGGCGTACGTACGGAAAACTAATCGGGGACGACGTTCAAGATTTCCTCATCATCCCCTTGTACCGAAATGAATTCACTGGAGAATCTAAACGGTATCCTATTCTTCACGTACCACGTCGGTCCTTTCGTCATTGGGTCGGGTTATTCGTATTCTTTTTGGTATCGGTAGGCGTGATGGTATTACAAGGGAGAACAGCAGTGGTGTGTGTGCTAAATTATAGGTTGTTGGGGTGGTTGGAGCATGGTGGATTGAGGTGGTTTAGATGGTGCGTGATGATTCCGTCGTTTTGGATGGGGATTTTGGTTCAGTGGATGGCGGTAATTGGGGAGGCGGCAGTTGTGATTATGCAGTTGGGGACCGTGTTGTGGTGGATTGGGTGGTCGATCAGGGTGTTGAATTAGGGATTAGGGTGAATTCCTGATTGTTATACTTATTTATCTTCTTTGGAACAATTCTTTACTCATTTTCTCTCTCTCGCACTTTCTCTGGAACATCAACACATATTTTTTCTTTGTGTTTAACTTATGAATTCTACTTATAGTAATACCTCCACTCTTTCTGCTTCCTATCTTCCTTATACTTCCTTGACATATATAGTTAGTTACATGCTATCATGATGCTCTCATACATTTCTGGATTCATGGATGTTTACACAAGAAATCAGGCACAGTTTTGGTGTTCAGCAAACTTGGAAAAGAATAGTAATTGCACCATGGATACATAACACGGGATAGCGCGCGCTCGGGGCAATGAGAAGCGACAATGCTAGGCATTGCACCATATCGAAACTAGGGAAGAAATTTTGATACCCACATCAGCATGTAATTCGCAGGCAGAGAATATACTCTGAATGGTAACCGACAGAGCCTGCGTAGCTCAATCGGATAGAGCGTCAGACTCTTATCCAAGTATCTGAAGGCTGCGAGTTCGACCCTCGCGGTGGGCTATAAAAACTATTTTTTTTCTCTCTTCGACTTGTATAGCTTATTTGAGTTACCGAGCCATGTGCTCCCATATAAAAGCTGAATCGAGGTCGACAATCTTCGGAACCCTATCTGTCGGAGTCACTATCGGAGGCACTATCGGAGGCACGGAATTCTTCGAGACAAACTGGGGTAACTGAATTAGACGACTTTTTACTTCACTCGATCTCGATAACAAGTATTCATTCTTCGGTATATAGATTTCTTTCCGCTCGTCCCTTTTTTACAGTACTTCAGTTTAAGGAGAAATTGAAAATGCAATTGAATGCGCAAGTCAGCCCCAAAGATGGAGATGCGCATTGGCAGGTCCACCGATATACCTCTCGCCCGACACAGGATGATCAACCAAAACCTGTTCAATGGCTTTGATCTCTTCGCTAGTCAACTCGACATCGCCTGCCTCCAAGTTTTCCAACGTACGAGTTGCTTTACTATCAACCAAAAACAAATCAGTCTTCGATCAATCAACAAGAAACTGGTGAATATACGCACGAAGATCCAGGCAGCGGTATCATAGTCGGGCCAAGAGATGCAACCCAAGCAATACACAACTGTCCCGTAGTGATGGGGGGCTTTCTGTTCGCTGCAATCGCTTTCAGTCCTTCGACGATAGCCATGTTGGCCTTGATATTATCGTCTTTGAAGCGGTCAAATCTAGTGCGAAAATCTCCCTCTATAATTCGATTCCAAGTCAATCAGTATATACACAATGGCAGGTTAACTCACCTGGAAGATCTGCAGCACTGTTAAACTTTCCTGTGAGAAGTCCCTGGCCTAGAGGAGAATACGCCAAAACAGAAACACCAAGCTCCGTAGCAGCAGCAATCAGATCTTTTTGTTCCTGTCCATATTCCCATGCACTAACTTCGACCTCGACAGCAGCTACGGATCCAGGATGAAGCTGAGCAGTACGAAAGCATTTATCAGTAGGATAATTGAAAATACTCAAGGCGTGAACTCACAGCGTACGCTTTCCTCAAAGTGCTTCCTTTGCATTCCGACAGTCCAATATGTCCGAATTTTCCTTCATCCCGCAGAGTAATCAGGCTGCTCATAATCGTCTCGAGAGGAATTGTAGAATCGATCCGAGCTGGCTGGTACAGATCAATGCTCTTCTTGGGTCCAAGCGCTTTCTGGCAGTTCTCCACACTGCGACGGAGATTCTCCATCCTGGATGTAACAACGTGAGTGAAAGCATGAACCCGTAAAACAAGTATCACTAACGATGAATCGGGCATGATCATCCCTTTACCATCCGGTTTCATAGCACCTTTGACAGAGAGGAATGTCTTCTCCACGTACTCTGGATACTTCTCATAGAAACGAGAAAGCAGTTGGAGGTTGCCGACGCCCCAAGTCTTGTCATAAAATTCACCTTGGTAGCACATGAGTTGTGGGAGCGACAATAGCATTCAATCTGATTCTCACCGCTGTTCAAAAACATCTTAGTCCCAGAAGGAAGCGCATCGACTCCAGCCCTGATAGCTTCGAAGGCTTGCTCGTCGCTGACTGCTCTATATATGCGCAAGCATCAATGTTAGAAAGTTGCCGTTTCTTTAATAGTTATATAAGTGTACGCACGTCAACAACATCAAGCCATGCTAGTCAATCGCGAACATGGTTAGCCTAAACACAACCGGAAAGATGACCAAAGGCTTACAGCGACGCGTCCAACAGCGATGTGCGAGGCTGAACCTCCTAGCTTGACTGAAGAAGAGACCATTTTCTTTGAATATTGTAAAGGGTGATAGAATTTTCTATCTGAGGACTTTGGATCAACATCATTTACTTTTTATACATTTTCATATCAAAGTGTAATCGATTATCAATCATCGTGTCGTGTGTGCTCGGCGAACTCGTTTGAATGTTTTGAACTTCGAACTCTTCCGCTATCCGTGAATCTGACGAGGTTATCATTGATAAGCAGAGCAGGCTGAATATCATATATAAAAATGAAAAGAGAAGGGATGACACGTCTGAGAGAATCCATAGCAACGTCGGACTTCGCGTAATGCGCATGACACGCATACGAACATCTTCGGCAGCAGCCTTGCAATCTTTTGAACAATCGATACATTCTACTTCTTGGAAAAACACAAGGCTGAATCCCAGACATGCAGAAATGCATTCGTGTCTCTATCTAGATATCTCTTACCCGCCATAGGATGATTGGCTAGAACTTTCTCAATAGCTCTAATCTTTTTGCTCGTTAACTCTACATCACACGCCTCCAAGTTTTCTAAAGTACTAGTGGCTTTGCTGTCAATGGAACCAATATTAATGAAGGACATGAAGAAGACGGGATACGTACGATGACCCAGCAAGGGGTATCATCGTCGGACCAAGAGAGGCTATCCATTGCAATACACAGCTGGCCTGTGGCAATAGGAGTATTACTATTCTCTGCAATCCTTCAACGATAGCCAAATTGGCCTTAAGGTACGCGTCCGATGCGATGAACCTATCCCATCCTTCTTCATAGCACCTTTGACAGAGGAAAGTTCTTCCTTCATATTCGGGTACTTCTCAAAGAATTGAGAAAGCAATTGGAGGTTGCCATTAACGCTCCAATTCCGGTCGTACAATTCGGCTAGGTAGGAACATATAAGCCTGGAGAAGAGTACTTGAAGTTCGTTTCACCGCTTACAACTGTTTTTGGTTCCAGCAGGGAGAGCCTACTTTGATGGCCTCAAAGGCTTGTTCGTCGCTTATTGGCGTGAAGGATCCTCTGGAAAATATCAAATGTGAGTTAGGGTGAATGTGCTTCTTGAACAAATGGTGTGCGCATGTCATAGTCATCAAGTCATGATAAAACGCAGATTATAACTTACAGAGAATTGGGATGATAAATAGAAACGAAGACTGACAGCCACCTGCCCAACAGAAATATTTGAGGCTGAACCTCCTAACCTTGATTGATTGAGAAACCATTCTGAACTGGTCAGGATCAGTCTTCTCAATGGCCTTTGATACAGTGCTGAGTGAGCACGTTCCTACGTCACAGAGACTAGGTTCACCGTGAGGCAAACGAGCTCTTCCGTTATTCGAGAATCTGACGAGAGACACACTGATAAGCAAGACATTCATATTTTGGCTAGGATGGATCAGAAGAGCCTACCACTTTCAGTAATAAACCATGCTCAAGGAATTAGATGACGCGCTAGGTACATGACCTTCACTCAAATATGCTACATTCTTGCAGGCATGAGCATTTTGAAAGCTCAGCCCCAAAGATGGTGAGCTGCATTGGCATCCTCTCGCTAAGAATAGGGTGATCAGCCAGAACCTTTTTGATGGTTGTCATTTTTTGTTTGTCGACTCTACATCTCTACTTCCTAAGTTTCCCAGAGTACGGGTTACCTTCGACACTGTTAACCAAATTCGAAAGAAACAGTGAGCAAACAATCAGCAAAATCGCACAGAGAAATACGCACGATGATCCAACGAGAGATATCATGGTTGAGCCAAAGATACGAGCCATGCGATACATATCTATCCAGGTAGTGCACTAGGTAGGCTTTTTACTCTCTATGATTAGTTCATGATCGCGTTAAATCCTTATAAAATAGTCAGATTGGCTTTGAGTTTGTCCTTTTGAAGCGAGCAAACTTGCTACGGGAGTCTCTCTTCGACGTTGGAGTTCAGCGCGTCAGCGGAAGCAGGGACTAAACCAACCGCCGACTCAGTTACAATATCTGCAAGACTCTTTATAGCGCCAGTGGCGGGCCCGGCAGAATAAACCACGATGAACAACTGTCAGCGACCAGACCAACAGATGTGTGAGGACAAAGGCCGCCTTCATATTGAGGCACAGCTTCCTGGCTTGATTGATTGATTATGGACCATCTCTGTGGGTGGAAGAAGGATTCAGAACCCTTGGCTACACGACTACTCATTTCAGTGTGGAAGAACCTGTGTGACTGTCACGAAGTCACGTTAACGTGCAGTCGTCTTATCTTATCTCGTGCATTGGGGGAAATGAAATGAACACTTATCCTACTGTCACCGTCGACTTGGTGGAGCTTTCTTTCATACTTCGCTTTCATTCGGTCCTACTGATCGCTTCTAGATCCTTGACCGGCATACTATCAAGGACGTCCTTCGCGCCGTACTCGATGCAATTCTATTTCACCGTTTGTTTGGGACAGTGAAGCCAAAGACGAGGGAAGTTTTGGGTGTGACCATGGTCTCGGATACTTTCTTTTACCTTGATTCAAGACCGAAATCCTCTAACCTCCTGACAGCCAGGTGTATCCGACCTGGAAATGGAAAAGCTTGTAGAGGAAAAGGTAGATTTATTTTGGAAAGGAATGGAGGGTGGAATGAGCAAACGGGGACAGGTATCATCATCCGTATCAATCGCTCTCCGGGCCCTATTTAATTTCAGTATTCACAGATTATAATCACTTTTTCTGAAAAACGTCCAAAGAAAAGCTGGTTTCAAGTTTATGTTGGCGAAGAAGATGTTCCCTGGGAGCAGTGGTGCGCTCTCATTGCCGCAAGTGGATATGCTGATGTTTTTCTCATTCTTTCTCTTTCTCGAGGGCAGGATAATCAATGCGGAAATGCAACAGCCACGCGATAGAGGTACCATTTTGTCGTTACCTTCATTATCCCCATTCGAAATGTCTCCTTCGTAGATCGTCAAGAGTTCGATAGTGCACTTTCGGATGCTCTCACCAAGGCCATCCACACTATGCTCACACATACCTCCTCTGATCGCGGTCGTACTGCCGTCCCACTGATCACAAATGCTACAGGAATCTCCCCGTTTCCTATCAGAGTAACCGTAAAAATCGGAGGAGTCGAGATCAATTGAACTCTCAACTTGAAATAATGACTACTTATACTCTTTCCGTAACCACCACCATTTCGCACAATTTACCCAGTCGATTAGCGACAATACAAGTATCGATTCGTGGTGTTAGAGTAGTTTGAAATCAATCACGAAGAATTTTGTACC